CTTAAAGTTTTCCCTAGTTTTATCCTTTTGCCACTTTTTAAAGCACTCTTTTTTCGCCTTAACTACTGCTTGAACCTCCTTCCTCCACCACCAAGTTTCTCTAAAGTTGGGTCCCTTTCCTTTCGACTCTCCAAGAACTTCCCTTAAAATTCTCCTCATACAATTGGCCATCGAGTTGCACATAGTGTTAGCATCATCTTTCAGGTCCCAAGTATCTTCTTTATCTATTCTATTCTTAAATATTTCTAATTTATCCCCTTTTAGGTCCCATCATTTCATCCTACGATGCCCACTATCATTCTTATCTTGGTATTGCCCTTTAAAGCATAAATCTAGTACCAAAATCCTATGTTAAGACGTCAGGCTTTCTCCAAGAATCACCTTATAGTTGTCGTATTTTAGATGGTCCACTTTTCTCACTAAAAAATAATCTATTTGGCTCTTAACTGACTCACTCTTAAAGGTTATCATATGCTCCTCCTTCTTCTTATACATAGCATTGGCCACCAATACGTCAGAAGCCAACGCAAAACCATATCCACCATGCACCCTCTCCTAATCTAGTTTATCTATTCCTATATGAAATTGAAATCTCCACCTATAATTAGGTTCTCTCCTGCGAGTACCTCCTGTAATATCTCATCCATTTGCTCCCAAAAATCCCTCTTTGTTTGATCATCTAATCCTACTTAGGGGGCGTGTGCACTAATAACGTATTTCCTCCAATAACTAGTTTAACTAACATAATCCTATCGCCTTTCCTAATGATCGCAACTACATTTTCCACAAGACCCTTAGCACTTGCTATTCCTACCACATTCTTGTGTCTATCCTTGTCACTATAATACAGTTTAATTTCTGTTTTTGGTCCTCTATAGCCCAGTAGAAGTTCTTGATTTGATTTTTGTGAAGAGGGGTTCGGAATTGAGGGAAGCGGAGAGAGGTTAAAGGATAAAGGGGTTGCGCAGTTAGGTAGGTTGAGGGGGAGCAACTGTCATTGGTATTGATTTGTTGCGGTGGAGCGACGGTGCTCATCATGTGCAACCAGATGCGTTGATTGAGGCCCATGAAAGAGGTAAGACGCTGGAAGGAATACCAATAAAATTCATCATCAATACAAGCTGAAAATAAAAGACCCATGACAAAATAAGTACCAAATCTCTTCCTCTGCTACTAGCCAGTGAGAGTTTTGTGCAAAAATTCCTAATATGCATGCCATCATTGTCCAAATTTCCTGTTTCAACCATGAACTAGCTATGTGTAATGGTTTGGGTGGGTTTGTGTGTGAGGTTATGTATGGGTGGGTTTCGTATAGATGCGACTTTTTGCGGTGAGGAATTTCCAATTGTGAGGACAGAGATACAACATCGAAGAGGAGGGATGAGTCCCAAGTCGAGATGGAAGTGCTGGGAGGAGCAAACTAGTAGGATGGGTTTGTGTTGTATGTAGGGGGTTGTATAGGAAAGGGCTGATATATTTTCTTTGTTTTATAAAAGTTCATAGGTGTCGTCAAACCATTCGTTATCCGTAAAAGAGGTGTTTTAACGGTGGAGCCGTGAATAAGTTAATCTCTAAGAAAAATCAACTATCATTAAAAAAAAGAAAAAGAAAAAGAAAAAGAAGCAAACTATCATAAGCAAGACTCGATGGTGGACCCCTCTTTTTTTTTTCCTTCACAATTATGTTGAACCCATTATGATGAGAAACATGTAAAGAAACAATTTGGAATTTCATATGAAGTACATTTAAGGCATTTTTGGAATAATGTTTAAGTCTTTATTTGTATATATTCTAATTTATTACGCAAAACAAATTTATGTTATTATCATACATTTTAGTAGTTAGGGGCACTATGGTAAGTTCAATAATTGTTGGACATGAGTACTAGTCAATAGTCCATGGATTGTTTTGCGGGTCAAGTAATATTACTTCAATTTTATTGGTAATCCTAATTGGTCTAAAAAAGTAGTAGTTACTAAATATTTTAGTTTCTAAATTTGAATTTTTGATCTTATAGAAGTAGGAGTGCCTTTAGTCTATAAATATGTTTGTTAAGTATTATTGTATAAGGGTAGTTAAGGATAGTTATGTCTTTTGTTCCTTTAGTCTTTTATTATAAGTATGTGTAACCCTAATAGGTTTATGAGTGTGAATAATATACAGTTCTCTTCCTTTTCTTTCTTTTATGCAAATCTAACAATGTTCAACCTCAATGATTCGAAAAAGAGTTAATATTATGAGAATTTGAAATTGTATGTGATTAGCCTAACCCTTACGAGGGTGAAGCACCTCATTCTCTCTCTTCTTCCACTTTTTCTTTCTTCTTTGCACACAACCAATTTACTATTCTTGGGTTACTATTCACAGCTCGCAAAAAGTGCATTTTTCTGCTCGAAAACCATATCCTAGCAGCCCCAAATCAACCCTAATCACTTCTCTTACCTATTAGCCTTCAATTTAACTATTAAAATCCTTAATTACTCGTTGTTTAGGTTGTCAAATAGCCACTGGTTTGAAAATCCAGCAAGCTGTCCCACATCAATTTGATATTAGAGTTTCAAGATCCTACTTTGTTTCCTACCAATCTCTTTATGAAATTGTTTTCTTTATTACAATGGTTGTAATAAAGATTATGAGGCTACCAATTCCAAATTTGAATCCTTCTCAAAAGATTATAAGGCTACCAAGGAAGATGTTGCGATGTTAAAGAGTGATGTGCATACTATCAAGACAACTTTGAAAGAATTGAAAGCTTCTATGGAAAGATTGCTAGCAATCGTTTAGAAGAAGCTAATATCAAGGAGCGAAAGGATGATAATAATGTTGTGATTCCAGAAGTAACTGCAAAAGAGCAAAGATAAATATGTTGTTGACATAGAAGATATTGAAAAAACAAAGACCAAAATTGATGTTTTAACTCAAGCAAGCATGAAAGAGGGTAATAATCATGATTCTACAGCCAAGGAAGACAAGAAGAAGGCTGCCCACATTGAGTTTCATTCCAAATAAATTCAATGAATTCCATGGAGTGATGAAGTGTTGAACTTTTTACTTTTCTTATTGTTGGTTCAAAAAGATTAATTTGAATAGTTGCAAGTGCAAAATTCCAGGGTCATTATACTTTAACATTGTAAAACTCGAGGTTGAATTTTTTCGAATGCAGAGGAGAATAATGGCAATGATGGCAAGCATGGACAGAAGGAATTTGGAATTTCACATGAAACACATTTAGGGCATCAAAGATTAAAGTTTTAGAATAATTTTGAGTCTTTATTTGTATTTATTCTAATTTATTACGCAGCTAGATAGAATAATGGCATTATAATAGGTTTTATTAGTTAGGGGGGTTTATGGTAAGTTTATTTATTTATTTATTTTGATAAATGGGGCATTATGGTAAGTTCAATAATTGCTGGACATGGAGAGTAGTCATAGTCCATCGGTCATTTTGGGGGTCAAGCAATGTTATTTGAATTTTTATTTGGAATCCTGGTTCGTTTAGAATATTAGTGGTTACCAAATATTTGAGTTTTAGTTTTATAGGAGTCGTCTGTACCCTATAAATAAGTGTAATCTAAATGATTTTGAGAATTTGAGATTGTGTTGTGTGATTAGCCTAACCCTTGTGAAGATGAAGCACCTCATTCTACCTCTTTGTTACTATTCTCAAGTAACTATTCACAGCTCTTAAAAAGTGCACTTTTCAACCTGAGAACCCTATCCTAGCACCCCCAAATCAACCCTAATCCTTTCTCCTACTTACTAGCCCTTCAATTTAACCATTAAACCTCTAAATTACTCACTGTTTAGGCAATCAAATAGCACTGGTTTGAAAATTCAGCAAGGTGTCCTACATCACATTTGTGGTTTAATGACATCTTAATTTGGTTTAATGTAGGAAACTTGATTACAAGGAAGAACGGAATTCAATACGTTTTATGTTTTCACCAACAATACGGCCTTGTTTGGCATACACTACTTTAGCACATTTTTTATTTTATTTTATATTTTTATCTTATTTGGGTCACATCACCTCTCTATCACATTGTACATCTTTTTATAAAAAGTTAGAAAGTACACTTATTTAGATCATTCCAAGCAAACCCTAGATAAACAAATACCAACCTAATAAGAAAGACACCTAAAAATATCAATTGTTTCCAAGCATAACGTCGGGTTGCATTTATTTATTTTTGTGACACACCAAATGCATATAGACAATAATGACAATGGTGTTGATCAAGATTGTGAGAGAGTGGTACAATTGTTAGGCAAAGTGGTGTTACACGTTGAAAGAAAATGGGGCACAAGGAAGGTAAGATAATAAAAATAAAAAAGAAAACAAAGTGTGTAACTTCATAAAGGTTAATATAGGCATTTTTGAAGTTTTTTTTTTTTTTTTTTAAAGACTGTTAATTTGACTTGATGGTTGATTATCAGAGGGATTCATTTGTTATCTAACTGGAAACTTTAAGGGGTGGGATGTAATTTCTCAAACGTTAGGAGAATTTGTTTGTTCAATAAACTTCAGGGGTGTATTTGAAATTTACCCTTTTTCTTCTATTGTATTCAAACTAGCAAGGCAGTGTAATAGATAACCATGTCGACCACAAAAGTAACATAATGAAATCTAGGATGGTGAAGATGGTTCGAATTGATGTGATTATACTAAAAAACAACCAGCCGATTGAACAGAAACGGTGGAACAAAACCTGGCTCTGATACTAATTGATATGCAGAATGGCTATCAAGAAACCTATTCAACTATGTAATTGATCACAAAACCATAAGTTATGGAGCATTGATTAAAAAGAGAAGATTAAAAGTTTTAAAAAGAATAGAAAGAGAGAAGAATAATACAAGGGTCAAAACCCTTATCTCAAAAACAGCCACAGCCTATACTCAATATTATTATCTCAAAACTGACCTAAAACTATTACATAAAACCATATATATAGCCAACGTAGGAAACCCTAATTAAAATACCAAAGCAAGAATACTACCCTAATAAAACTCCAAATTAAATTAAAAATTATAAATAATAGAAGTACAAAATCCTTAATTCTCCTATATCCAATGCCTTTCTGCTCTCCATCAAAAGTTCAACAACATGAACAATGTAAATAATTTGAATAGTTTAATCATCCAACACAATTGGTAGGTTACACATGCACCCCTGTGAAATTGAACCCTCAATCTTGTGGGAGGATAGTGCATCAAAATGCCAAATTTTGGGTTTTAATTAGATGTCATTTTTTTATGGGACAATTGACATTCCAATAGATTATTCAAAGTATCATATTTATTTTTTGGCACAATAACAGAGCATGTGTAACTAATTTATAACAGAGCATGTGCAAACTGGATTGAGTTACTCCAAATCACTCTGAACATCGAATTCAGACACTGGCCAGCTACAAAAATTGAGGAAACACATTACCTCAAGAAATCACTGCACTCCATGCCATAATCTGCAACACCATTAACTATTTGTTAGTAAAAAAAAAAAATGAATCAGGATATGATGTCACTATGCACTAAAAGTTAACTGGTCTTTTTATTTATTTATTTATTTATTTTTTCAGTTCTAAAAATTATCAGATCTAACCAAGTCAAAATCGTATAATACCCTGTGCAAATAACAAGTAAATCATGTAAGTTGAAACTTCAATAGTTTTAACATATTAGGCACAATCAACGAGTAGTTTCCTGAGTGAAGGCCCCATCCCTTGCACAGGGATGGAGCTGGTAATCACCTTGTCAATGTTTTTGTGCTGAGTAAGTCTAGAAAGGCAGACTTCTAGGGTTCGTTTGGTTTGTATTTCTGAAAAAATTTTGGGAAATTTTCTTTACAAATAAGTTTTTAAAAGTAATCAAACCAAACAAATTTTCTCAAAAAAATTTCTCAAAACTTGTAAACCAAACAAGTTTTCCAAACAAATCTCTCTCTCACACACATCAAATCAATCACTTTTTTCAAAACTCTCTCTCAAAATAATTTTCTAAAACATCTTTTGAAAAAAACCAAACCAAACAACTTTTTGTACTTTTTATCTCTAAAACACATCTCTCAAACACAAACCAAACATACCCCTAGTATCCAATTGAGTTACATAAAAATGCTAATTCCAAGAGGGTTCAACATGGAAAAACTTAATTTTTCAATTTTTTTGTGGTTTCAAGTTAAGCAAGACATCCATGCACGCAAGTCATTTTTCAGAAAGTGAGATTTTACATATTGTTTTATAACAAGGAAACAATTTGGGGGGACCATCCCCTTATTTCAAAGTCATTAGTCTGAAAATTTCTGGGATGGAGAATATGAAGGCTACTGATCTTATTGACTAGGATTTTGGTTCATGGAAGCAAGACTATTAGTGAGCTCTTTTTAAAGTTCGTGTCTGACTGTTTATGTGTTGGGTTCACCTAGCCAACGACAAATAAATTAGTTTGCACCTCATAAAGAACAAAGTTCACTGTTCGTTTTTCATATTATTCAGACTTGAATGCTGGAAATTCATATCCAGCAACTTCAAACTCAGGATGCATGAAATTTTTTTGAACGGCAATACAGAGTCTTAATTATCCCTAACAAAGTCGAGGCTTTTGCTTGGAAGGCCTGTGCTGGCATTGCACCAGTTGGGGAACTTCAGAAACACAAGAAAATGGTGAATGATGCTAACTGTCCACTATCTACTTGCTAAGCACATTTGGAAATTGCGTGGTTTACATTACTGGACTGGATTTGATTACAAAGGTGATTTCTGCTTGTGGGCAATGTATGTGAATTTGATAACAAAGGTGATTTCTGCTTGTGGGCAATGTATGTAAGGCTAAATGCAATCATAGCTTTGATTACTTCTTTGTCTTGGCTCGGAGCAATTCATGATTTAGTGGGAGGCAGAAATCTGCTAATGATAGTGTTGAATTTGCTTACGGAATATTAGAAGATCACAGAGAGAACTGCAAAACTTATACTAGTGCTGCTTATCAAGTAAATTTTGGCGGTACTCAATTCAAAGAAAGTACGGCAGTAGTAGGTGTTATTGTGAGGAACTCCCTAGGTAGTGTGATGACTTGGTGCTGAGAATATGGAACATATTAGATGTCAATCATATAAAAGTTGTTTAGTGGGAGGCAGAAATCTGCTAATGATAGTGTTGAATTTGCTTACGGAATATTAGAAGATCACAGAGAGAACTGCAAAACTTATACTAGTGCTGCTTATCAAGTAAATTTTGGCGGTACTCAATTCAAAGAAAGTACGGCAGTAGTAGGTGTTATTGTAAGGAACTCCCTAGGTAGTGTGATGACTTGGTGCTGAGAATATGGAACATATTAGACGTCAATCATATAAAAGTTGTTAGTGCAATGTTGTCAATCAGGACTTTGGGCTTCTCAAGTATTCATGTTGAACGGGATTCCTTAACGGTGATTAATGGTATCAAGGCTGTGGGAGATAATTTTCTATAATTAGACACATCAGTATGATTATTCAAAACCGACTAAGATGTTTTCAAGAGATTCAAGTATCTTATGTCAAGTGATGAGGTAATAAAGTTGCTCTGCTACTTGCTCGGTTCGCGCAGAATGAAGGACGGATGAGATTTTGGATCGAAGAAGTTCAAATCCAATGGAAGTCATTGCTTGTGTACTTTTTGAATCTATTTATTTGATACAATTATCTTTCTCCCAATAATAAATAAATAAATATATAAAAAGATTTTTTTTTTTGGCAAGTGAGATTTTATTACCAACAAGAAAATATATTCAATGCTCAATACACACCCTAACGTTGTGTTCAGTTGAAAGATTTGGGAAGAGATTTGGAAAGTAAAAGAGAAAAAATAAGTGAAACTAGGTGAAATATAGGCTTATTTTATTCACATTTCACTTACCTTTTCCTTTCTCTTTTCAAATCTCTTCCCAAATCCCTTAACCAAACACAGCATAAAAGGCACAGGAATGTCACAAGACAAGACCCAGAAAAGCTAAACCACTAAAAGAAAAACTTAATAAGATACTATATACTATTATATTAAACATTTATATGAAGAAAATAACTTTTAAGATAAACCACTAAAAGAAAAACTTAATAAGATACTATATACTATTATATTAAATATTTATGTGAAGAAAATAACTTTTAAAATGATTGACAACGAAAACCACAATGCAATATAGTCTCAATATTGATTCAATAGGCTCAATAATGAATTAAAAAAATGCAATCGTCCAATAAAACTTGGAATGTTTTGTTTGTCTCAATGAAAAACCCAAAACAGGCCTTGAATGGTCTAAATAAGTAATAGAGGCCATACAACAAAAAAAAAAAAGCCCCAAATTATTACAGAAATAGGCAAACCAAATAAAATCATAACAAATTAACATGGGTTACATCATTTATCAAAACCCAAGAAATGTAAATTATGTTTTATCAACACTAAAAATTTTGAGTTTGAGGGCCACATCCAATTCTTTATCTACTTGATCTTGTCAACTACCTTAAATAACTATAAAAATTTAAGTTACAATATCACTAGCAAAGCGATAAATAAACTTACTTGGGTTTGAACCCCTTGTAGCCAAAAGGACCTTGCTTCATCAGTTTGACAATGTCGTTAGCATTCAAATTCATAAGACGAATGTTATCAAAAAAAGTAGTAAATAAGATGAAATGTATCTTGGACGAGACATCGGGGAGAACTTGGTGCAGCACCTTGACGATTTTTCTAGAGGAAATATTTGGATTGATGTCCCTTCCATGTTCGCAAACAGTCCTTAAGTAATTAACACTTCACATGGCACCTTAAAATAGCTTCGAAAAACAGATTGTCCTTGTTCATTGACGAAATACAGAACTTGCCGCAGTGGCGACTGATGATTATCCCCATATCGTTCATTATTACTTACTTGGATTCTGTACAGCCAATTATCCATATTCGCAAGAGGGGTGCTTCTATCTAAACAAACAAGACCGTTGAATTCTCTTCGATTTCTTTTTCGGATTTCGTACACTTTATAAATAAAGTGAACTCTATCCACTTTGTTGAAAAAAAGTGGGTGAGAATAATTAAAAAATGCTATTTTCTTAACTTCATAAAGAGTAATATGACTTGAAAAGGAGATTGAAAAATATTGGCCTTCATCAAAACCATAATGTTGTAAAAAGGCATGAGGAAGGGGACCATTAAGAGTAAATCTATCCATAGCTAAATATACCATGTGTCTAAAGTGTTGAACGTCAAGAATAATCTCATCTATTAGGCTAAGGATTGGAGGATAAATCTACCCCCATACATCCCAAGATCCAGATGCAGTTGTACGACTAATCTGCCTAATCTTTAAATTATTACACAGATCACCATTGAAACCATCATGTTTGTGAATATCTATCAACAGCTTAATTATTTTATTAAGTAGTTAAATAAATAAACTACCAAGTCCAATAATGTTGTCCTCATGAGTCTCCCAAATTTCGTCGAAGTGATCCATTTGTGAAAGTTCTGTTAAAAATTAAACAAAACCAAATAGATAAAGATTAAAATCAAACATATGAAGATGAAAATCAAACATATGCAGACAAGAACATTGAGGGCAATAGTGGTTTGCAAAAACATGAATCTATTAACCGAGTACAAATCATACAATAATATACAATAATCTTTCACAAGACTTGAGTCAAGCACCTAATTCTTACCATAACCAAATAGAGGGATTGCTTATAGGACATTTATCAAGAGCTTCCCTCACATCCTGATAGGCTACTAGTTGTATTAGCTACAGTTGTGAGGGAAGCAACAGAACTAGTAGCCTATCAGGATGTGAGAGAAGCCCTTGATAAATGTCCTATAAGCAATCCCTCTATTTGGTTATGGTAAGAATTAGGTGCTTGACTCAAGTCTTGTGAAAGATTATTGTATGATTTTGTACTCGGTTAATAGATTCATGTTTTTCGAACCACTATTGCCCTCTATTTTCTTTTGTCTGCATATGTTTGATTTTCATCTTCATATGTTTGATTTTAATCTTCATCTATTTGGTTTTGTTTAATTTTTAACAGAACTTTCACGAATCGATCAGTTTGACGAAATTTGGGAGACTCATGAGTACAACATTATTGGACTTGGTAGTTTATTGAACTACTTAATAAAATAATTAAGCTGTTGATAGATATTCACGAACATGATGGTTTCAATGGTGATCTGTGGAATAATTTAAAGATTAGGCAGATTAGTTATACAAGTGCATCTGGATCTTGGGACGTATGGGGGTTGGATTTGTTTGTGAACCCTCCTCCAAACCTTAGCCTAATAGATGGGATTATTCTTGACATTCAACACTTTACACATGGTATATTTAGCTATGGATAGATTTACTCTTAATGGTCCCCTCCTTCCTCATGTTTATGACAGCTTTTTACAACATTATTAAGAAAAAGAAAATAGCATTTTTTAATTATTGTAGAGTTCGAAGTGTACGAAATCCAAAAGAGAAATCCAAGAGAATCCAACCTCCAAGAGAATTCAACCATATTAATTCAACCATATTGTTTGTTTAGATAATAATGAACGATATTGTAATAATCATCAGTAGCCACTGCGGCAAGTTCTGTCCTTGGGACTATCCCAATATCGTTCATTATTACTTATTTACAAGTCCGGATTCATCGTCTTCGTGAAAAGGAACAGGGTAGTTAATGTATTTAGCAAGAGTATGGTTGTGTAGAATATCATCGGAGACATCAAAAGTACTCATACTTATCAACTGTATATACACAGATACATATGAACTTACCTGGTAGAGAAGCACCTGAAGACGATGATGATGATGATGATGAGATTGATGAAGATGAGGATTTCTTTATGCTTTTTCGCCATAAATTTAGGAGACGTCGTCTGACGTAGTGAGGGAAGGTATTGCTTCCTTCCATTGAAACCCAATTTTGATGAAAACCTAACCTAGGGTTTCGTCTTCGCAAGAAGCAAAATTGCAGATCGAAGAAGAAGACGAAGATTTCACGAGAAATAATTCGCTGTTGCTGAGGGAGCACATCACGCGGTGTCACTAAGTTGTGAGTGGAATTCTGGCAACGCTTTGGCTGAGGCCTGGCCTGGCCTTCTTTGGGGAATGCTAAAAATTATTTTAAGTGAGTCCAATTGTGGCCGACTCTGTTTGGTTTTATTTTCAGAAAATAAGTTTTAGAAAATTTTATTTTTTTATTTTTGATATTTTACTATTTTTAATGAATTTTTTAAATATTTTAAGTAATTTTTTTTAATTTTTAAACACACTTAATATAGATACACTTAAAAAATATAATATTTGTGAAAAAAATCTTTAAAAAATATACTAAATACCAAAAAAATATGAAAATTTAGTACTTTTTGTGTTTTTGTGTATTTATTAATTTTTAAAAATATTTTTTCACAAATATTTTACTATTTAAATATATCTAAGTTAAGTGCATCTAAAAAAGTAAAAAAAATTACTTAAAATTTAAAAAATATTCACTAAAAACAAAAAACATGAAAAAAAAAAACTCAATTTTCAAAAAACTAAATTCACAAAACTGAAACCAAACACACTGAGTATTTTTTTTATATAAATATATATATGTAAAATAAAGAAAAAATAAATTTTTTGAATTTTTTTTTTAAGAAGAATTAACCCTTAACTTCTAAAAGGTGGAATTGTAATCCAATCAATTCCATATTTAATTTTAGAGGGCTACTAAATGTCCCTACCTTTCTACTTTGGATCCCCCACTTCTTTGGCTTCCCACCACTAAAATTGCTTCCCTCTTTATTTTTCTTTAGATCATTAGCATAATCTCAAATATACTCTTTGAATCCCACCCCTACACCTTCCACGTTCAACTTCTCCTTTCTTTCTCTAGCAATTTCCTTCCCACTCTGGCAACCCTTCCTCTCCGACAACTTGCTCAAACAGTGGCAACAACAATAACAACAGAGCAACTGTCTGTTTTCTCATAATATCAGATAAATATGAACTATGTTTCAAGGAATGTAATAACCTTGGAAGCGTAATGGGTCCAAGTTCGAAGGGTGGTTCCTCCATTGTAGAGAATCACATTGATGTTGCTGAAGATGAATGATGGATTATCAATTTGAAAAATCCATCTTTTTGCCGTCGTTCGCCGCCGTTCAGAAAACCAGTTTTGAATAGAAGCCTGATGTTCAGTACTATGTAGCCAAACAAAAGGCATATGTTCAGTTATGGAGCACCGAACATATTCAACAAGTGCAGCTCTGTGTAACCGAACGAAGAGAAATCGACCAACTTGTGAGGTAGAGAGAGAAATCAATGAGGAGAGAGGGAGTCGCGCACAAAAGAGAGAAAAGAGAGTAGGTTCTGAAGGATGAAGATGAAGATCGCGAAAGAGAGTTCGCGAATTAGTCGCTCATTCTCTGTGACCGCTGCCAAAACCCTAACCTTCGCCACCATTGATAATTCTATAAACAATAGGTGGTGGCGAGAGGCTCACCGAAGAAGGAAAATAATGGAGGTGGGTTGGTTGTCGGAGGCCGCCAGTGGGAGTGGAAGTGGTGGTGGGATTAGGGTTAGGTTAGACTTGGAAGGATAGGATGAGGACAAAATTGAAATTTGATATTAGGACAAAATTGTAATAAAATAAAACATAAAAAATGGGGGGGTCCAATGTAAAAAAGTAGAGGCATTTAGTAGCCCTCTTAATTTTATACACGTAGATTTCCCATTAAATGTGTAGTTACGTTTTTGTCCGTTTGTGTGTTGTATTTGTTTTTGAAAATTTTGTTTTCATGATTTATGTTTATGTCACGTTTGGAAAAAGCATACTATAGGGTTTTTAGGGATTGCTAGTTTGGGTTGGGTGACCCACATTTGTTGGTTGACCCACATTTGAAAGGCCCACATTTCGAATTTCAAGAAATGTGTGCACTCCCCCAATTTGGAGGATTCCGACCAATTTTTCCGATTTGGTAAGTCTGACAACTAAGGTTTCTTGTTGGAGTACATTTGTTGGTTTGCCCACATTTTGGTAGACAACATCTTCACCGAGGATTCTGACTAGTTGACCTAAACTGGTGAGTTTGGCAAGTAAAGTTACAAAACAGAATAGTCTTGACGTTGTTACGCTGGTAATGCGTGGGACAGATCTACCAGATCAAAGATCCTGAAATCGTCAGTGCGTTTGTTTAGGGGGTTTGTAATCGTTGTGTATCGCATGTTTGGCGTAATTAGATCTCACACTTTGCGATGTAGATTTGGAAATAAACCGTTCACGCAACAATAATGTGGGTGAAAAATCCCCCAAAATCCCACTAAATCTACAACAGGAAAACATACTCTGTAGTTGCTGTGTGGAGATTTGCTTTTTGTTGGTGAGGTTGTTACGTTTAGTCCTTGATAGGGGGTTGGGTGTGGTGGTGGAGATTTCACAGACTGTTCAAAGGTGTCTTGTAAATCAACTATTCTAACTCCAATGACGACGTCGCACAACAGTAAGTTCCCATGTATCTATGGGTTTGTCTATTTTTGATTCTGTGGGTTTGTGTTGTCAACGTGTAAATGTAGTGATACTTTACGAGACTCCAATGCCATTATGGGGGGAAATGTAGTGGAAGGAGGAGGGGAATTGGTGTTTTTTTTGTAATGTATGTATGTTGGGCACAGGGTGGACATATATTTCCACCATGGTATGGATTAAGTCTGAAAACATGAGTAATATGTGGTTTATGTGTTTCGTGTGCGTGGGTGAATGAATGTGTGGTATGTGTGACTGGGGGCCATGATGTGCATGGGTGTGTTCTCGTAGTGTGTATGTTAATATTAGGGTGGTGTGTGAGTTAGGAAATGTGGGGTCAGGTGAGGGATTTGGGTTTGGTTTTTGAATGTGGATTGGTTAGGCATATGGGTGGGCATATATTTCCACCGTGTTATAGATTGAGCATGAAAACACGAGTAATATGTAGTTTACGTGTTTCGTGTGCGCGGGTGTGTGAATGCATAGTATGTCTATTCCAGGTGTGTATGGTGTTAGTGGGGTGGTGTGTGAGTTGGGAAATTTTTTTTTTTTTTTTTTGGGGGGGGGTTCTTATATTGTGCATGTTTATGTAGTAAAAATGAAGGTGTGTTTGCTCAGGTATAGTGGTTATGTTCCATAATGGGCATTGTGGTTTAGTCAAAACAAGGATGGTTGGGGTTCACGTAGTAAAAGTGTTTGGGTAGCCTGTGGGTTGTGTGTTCCATCGTGTAATGTATGGACAATGTGTTGGTTGTGAATGGATGCGTGATATTCACGCGGTGCATTCATCGTATGTGTCCGCAATTGTGTTCATTATTCATGTTTGTTTTACAATATGGTTGGAAAACTGATTGATGTTTGTTTTTGTATTGCAAAAGGTGTGAGGACGTTGAGCCCATGGACAAGATCAAGAGAGAGGACTCATTTGTGTGTTGTTGCTGGTTTGCTGTTAAAAAATATTGGGCCAAGGATTCAAGGACGTATATTGTTCGCAAATATGAGTGGCCAACCTACTAAACGTGAAATCAAAACGAACTGTGACGACAACGTTGTTATCCCCGTACGAACACAACAGCATGACGTTGTCCCCCATACTTGCACCGAAATAGAACAAAAATGAAGATTAAAAATGAAAATTCAGGTTGATCGATTCCTCATTACATGTACATTATTACATGATGTGTTTGTGCTCTACTGCAAACTGAAATAAAATATTTTTAAAAAAAGTACTACTATGTTTTTGGCCAAAATGTATCGAATAAAGCAGTTGTTTGTGTGATGTAGAAGATGCAACATTCATAAACGTGTTTAGATCGACAAACGTCAAACGTTCCAACCCATTATGGCAGTTCCTTGTGACATCCCACACCGCCAACATCACGACCGACATGTCAACGTTGAACCCCCCAATCTAAAAACGAAAACAAACAAATAAATGATCAAAACATTACCACCGACGCAATCCATGAAAACTGCACCATGTACTGCAAAAAATAAACAGGAGGCTGATTGCACCACAAAAACAAACCGTGAACACCTATAGATGTCACAAAATCCATTCCACAATTACCGAATGAGACCCTGCGGAACACATAATTAAAAAAAAAAAATAGAACTTGCTCATGTAGTAATTTGAAAGTAGAGCTTGTTGGACTACAACTCTCCCAAATGGGAGTTTCCAATCATTTTCCCTTTTTTTTTATTTATATATAGTTTGTTAACATTTTAATTTTTTTAAATAAGTTTTTAATTTTTAAACTGAAATATATAATTGCCAAACGAAGCTTGTTGTTAACAATTCAAACCAAACCCGTGACTAACGTTTTACAAACGGGCATTGTTTGGCTTCAAGTTTCTTAATTTAATTTTTTAAAGTTTTAATTTTTAATTTTTCATATATTTTTTTATTTTTAGTGATATTTTTAATATTTTAGTAACTTTTTTACTTTTTAAATATACTTAACTTAGATGTACTTAAAAATTAAAGGAAGCACAGGATACCAAAGGAAGCACAGGAAGCACATGAAGTAGGAAACAACACTATAATAATACAATTTCAATAACAGTTTAAAATAATTACATAAAAATAAAACTTACAATTGTTTACTGGAATGAAACAAGTAGTTCTTCACAATACATAACTTGAAAACGAACTTGAAAATATAAAATTACAGAGGCAGCTATTTTTCTTGAGGAATGAGCACTCTCAATTTTTTCTAACTCTGCCTTATTCTTGACTGAATAGGCCCTTTTATAATCAAAAGAGACTACTGTTAGCCTTGTGAGTGACTACTGTTAGCCTTGTGAGTGAATAATCTGGCTTGAAAGGAGCATCAGGAGCACATGGGAGTTGTCTGTTGCTTTCGGTGAGTGACTAAAGTTGATGGCTGCTTTTTATTGTGCTGAATTTGTCGGTTGGATGAATCCTGATTAATGATGAATAGTAATGTTGACTTTTTTATGAATAGTGAATAGTAAAGTTGACTTTTTTCACTATTCATTGCTTGGAGGCATGTGACTGAGGGAATCAATATAGATATATATATCAGCAGCTTTTCTCAAAAAACGAGTATTGATTGAAGCTGATAATTATAGCTATATAGAATCCAATGTTGAACAAG